TGTCTGTATATTAGTAACATGAAATTCTTATTTTATATAGAAATCACAAAGAGAAGTGACATTGCTTCCAAGAAGTGTGGATGCGGCTGTGGATTTGGAAGATTTGGATGGGGMGGATACGGACCATATGCTGGAGGTTTGGGTGGCTATGGATGGGGCGGCTATGGCTACGGATATGGATACCCCATTGGATATGGWCACCCGATTGGATATGGCCCAGGTCCCTTTAATTATGGTGGCCCACTTTGGTAGATCTATGAGTTAATTTTAGGTAAGTCGTGTCCCCTTATGGCGGATGATACAAAAATCTTGGCAAGGGATATCTTATTCCGCTTTCTGTGAAAAAAACATGTTATTAGTATACATTTACTTGTCATATATCGTCAATGACAACTGATTGCATATTTTTTTTTCTTAGAACATAACTACAAACAAGTATCTCCATGGCAACCTAACAAGCGTCACCATGACAACATCCCATCTYATTATTCAATACTTCTGTCGTACTCCAAGACTGCAAAATATTGACTGAACTACGCGCTGAGTTTTGGTTTGGTTGATTATTTGTCGCTCAATTAATCACAATTCTGCAAGTTTATTATTTTATTTAAGGCAGTGAATGATTTATAACAAACAATACTAAAAGACACTAGTGCAATTTGTACATAACTTTGGCACAATAGCAGTGCATGGAGTCGGGTGAATAAAATTTTTCAATCAACTCAAGTCTAATCTGCATGAATCTAACCTCCTAACAGTTTAGATAATTAACTTAGYTTCAGCTAGTTAGCTTAAATTTGTTTACAATTACTTTCAGGTTAGTATTAACTTATATAAATGTTTGATATCATTTCAAAACAGTTCTTTTCTTTGGARACTTGTCTCTTTCGATTCAAAGGTTTATGAATTTTTATCGATAACTTGAGTAGTATGTAAAATACTTAAACCTGCTATTTTATTTATTCAAAGTATTCGGAAAAGGGGAGTCTTATCATCTTAATTAACATTGTTATAATTRATTCTCTTTACCTTCAATCCAGTTGTGATCACCTTTAATAAAGTCCTGTGATAAAKACTAATGATTAACAATTCATGGTCGTTATGTCGGGAAAGACTAATATAGCACATAATTATAATGAATTCTAACCATTTATTTATAATTCTAAACCCTCAATATCAGATATAGTCATAACTTTCATTAATCCTTTAATTTGTATCAATTCTAATCACAAAGTACCATAATTGCATGTTGCATGTCTCTAACACGCATGAAAATAATGTTATTTGCATGCAGCTAAAAAGCGTTGTGGATTATTCGGAGACGGTTACGACTTCGGCCTTGGTGGCTATGGATGTGGTGGTGGCTGTGGAGGAGGCTGCGGTGGAGGATGCGGAGGCTGTGGCGGATGCGGTGGCTGCGGCGGCTGCCAATGGGGTGAACCAGGAGAAGGCTGCGGCTGCTCCAACTGCTGTGGTGGTTTCGGATGCCCTCACGCCTGCGGAGGCTGTGGATGTGGATGCTGCCCCAACCTTAACTTCCCCGTCACTTTCGGCGCGTGTGTCAACAACCCCTGCTGCGAGTGTTGCCAGAAGAAGCCCCCAAAAGGCAAATGCCAATGGCCGTGCTATTGGCCATGCTGCTGTAAATGTACTCCACCCAAGTTTGAGTTCAAGCCTTTGAAAGCCAAACCTCTCTG